AATTGGGAAAACATGTGATCACACAGATATTGGTGTGATCAGATGCTTTTAAGGGCAGAGGAGACATCTGGGGTCTAACAGATCCCAGATCTCTCCATGAAGTGATCAAATACTTTTAAGGGCAGAGGAGACATCTGGGGTCTAATAGACCGCCGATCTCTCCATGAAATGATCAAGTACTCCTAAGGGTAGAGGGGACATCTGGGATCCAATAGACTTCAGATCTCGCCATTAAGAGTGTAACAGAGGTCAGAGATATTGGATTTTTCTTCTTTGTCTTTTGTTTTATGAAACTGTCAATCTCTAATCCAGATGCAGTATGTAACAAAGTCAACTTACCTGTATAATTTGGTTTGTAAGTGTCAAGGTCCTACCTTTTCCCTGAAGTTTTGTTACTCCATGTGCTGGCGTCCATCTTGGATTCTGCTGTGCATGGTGGGAATCCTTTTATGCCTTCAGGTCTCTGAGGTCCATCCCCCAGAGGGGTGTGGCTGATGACATATAAGCCTGTGGCCCGCACATGCTCTTTGCACTTGTGTCTTGTGTCTTGGTCTTCCTACAGCTCTGTGTATACGCTCGTGACTCTTCTGGTATTCTGACTCGGCTTGTGATTAAGACCATTCTCTGTGTTTTCCTTCGATCTGACCTTCCGTTGCTGTACCCGGCCCGTGACCTGTGATTCTCTGTCTACTGTTCTGTACCGTTTTGTCCCGTTGTTGTCGACCCAGTTTGCCTGACTACGCTATTGTCATTCTCACCAGCTACACGCCATTGGCGGCAGCCATTACCGCAGCCGGGGTGTCTCGGGGGCCGCGACCTGGTACCTGGCTGCGTCAAGTCCATCCCCACCATCAGGGGCCCTGGTGAAGGGCAGCCTGGGACTTAGACTCCGTGCCCTGAGGGACTTCGTCTGTTGGTGGTGGTTGTCGTCAGCCAGTGCATTACCCTGCCACTAGGCCTACCTGTCCGTTCCACAGCCCTGCCCTGACAGTAAGTACCTGTGTCCCTATGGGGGGTAGGGATGGTAGGGGTAGGAAGCACATAAACTATTGTATCCTGGATCAGGATAGAGCCAGATGCCTTGGCACCGACAGAGGTCTCTGGCTGAATTAAAAGTACCATATAACAAAGGAGAGTGTCAGACTGTGGAGAGCTTACTTCAGTGATGGACAGAGGACCTCATGGCTGCAGGTCTCTTTCGATGGAGACTAGAAAATACATGGAGCTGCTGGGGCAGATAGTTCCCTGGGCTGTGCTTTGTTTTCTGCACTGCTGGGACTTGTAGTTCTGTGTGCGTTCTCTACACTGGGACTTCATTCTATCTTTTCCTCTTCCTTCAACTGCTGCCTGTCTGCCCCTGAAGCGGAGGCAGGGCCATTTTGGACCCTGGGCAAACATTTTCATGGGCCTCCCCCATGCAATTTCGCTGAGATGTTTCTACACCTTGATTGGAGTCCACCTCTGACAAATTCAATTGATTGGACATGATTTGGAAAGGCACACACCTCTCTATAAAAGGCCTCACAGCTGACTATGCATATTGTATCAGAGCAAAAGCCATGAGGTTAAAGAAACTGCCTGCAGAGCTCAGAGGCAGGATTATTGCATGGCACAGATCTGCGGAAGATAACAAAAACCATTCTGCTGCAGTGAAAGTTCCCAAGAGCACAGTGGCCTCCATAAAACTAAAATGGAAGAATTTTTGCACAACCAGGACTCTTCCAAGAGCTGATCGCCCAGGCAAACTGAGCAATCGGAGGAGAAGGGCCTTAGTAAGAGACCAAGAACCCAATGATCACTCTGACTGAGCTCCACAGATCCTGTGTGGGGATGGGACAAAGTTCCAGAAGGACAATCATCACTGTAGCCCTCCACCTATCTGGGTTTTATGGCAGAGTGGTTAGACAGAAGCCTCTCCTTGGTGCAAAACATATGAAAGCTGGCTTGGAGTTTGCACCAGAAGGACTGTTCAGATAGGAGCGGTGCAGGAACCCTCCCTGCAGGCATCCCATGCTTAGTGTCAGTAGTAGGAGAGGAGAGAAAGCGGCGGGGATTTGAAATTCCCACGGCTTTCTTTACTTGCAGTGATGACAGTTCGGGCTAGACAGCATCTGATTGGTCAGCTGCTGGGAGGTTTCCCACACCGCTCCTGTATGAACTTGGGCTATGACAAGCCTGGGTTCACACAGGAGCAGTGGGGAAACCGCATGCGATTTGGACAGGAATCTCATTCCTCTTCAAATCGCATGCTAATCTTTGTGGTGCAATTTGCATCCATTAGCGCAAATCACACCGCTAAGTACCGGTTAAAGTGGAGCTCCACCCAAAAGGGGAAGTTCCACTTTGCTGCTTTGTCCCCTGCTCCCCATTAAGGATTATTTTATTTATTATTATTTTATTTCAGGTACTTATAGCACTGCCAATTTACGCAGTGCTTTACATATATATTGTACATTCACATCAGTCCCTAACCCTCAAGGGGTGTACAATCTAAGGTCCCTAACTTACATTCATACATATACATAATATGGCTAATTTAGACAGGAGACAATTAACCTACCAGCATGTCTTTGGAATGTGGGAGGAAACTGGAGGAAACCCATGCAGGCACAGGGAGAACATGCAAACTCCAGGCAGGAGGTGCCGTGGTTGGGATTTGAACCAACGATTCAAGTACTGCCAGGCAGAAGTGCTAACCACTTAGCCACTGTGCACTTTTGGGGAGTGGGGGAAGCGGGTACCCGCATTTGACAGGTACCTGCTCCAACTTCCAGTGTGATAGCTTAAGGTGATCGGAAACAGAAGTTGTCCTGCCCCCTCCCTCCCTGTAGTCTTCTGGGACACATGACAGGTCCCAGAAGACTACGGGACCATTCACAAAGTGCAGAGCTACTCGCGGATGCGCAGTGGGCACCTGACTGTGCAGCCAAGGAGAGAAGACAACCGGTGAAACCAGCCGTGGTGAAGACACCGCTGGGCTGAGGGACAGATAAGTGTCTATATTTTAAAAGTCAGCAGCTACAGTTTTTATTCAACTGGAACTCCGCTTTAAGGTATCGGTAGTATTTTCACGAGAACGCATACTCGGTGCATCCCTAATAAAGTATACTTTTTTCCATATTTTGGAAGGCGCAGGGTCTCCCAGGTGATGTCATTAACCAGGGCTTTTTTTCTCAGAGGAAAGGTGGTGGAACTCCCCCACCCAAACCTGGCCACGCCCCCATCAAACCCTAGGACCACCCCTTTAGAGAACAGGAATGCAAGTAAAATTTGGGAGGGGCTTCCGATGACATCATTTCCCGTACATACCATATAAGGGAAATGATGTCATCAGACCCCCGGCTGCCTCTTGCATGATCTGCATGAAACACATGCATAGATATAAAATGACTAATGTACTGACACCAGAAACACATGCATAGATATAAAATGACTAATGTACTGACACCAGAAACACATGCATAGATATAAAATGAATACCGTACTGACACCAGAAACACACGCATAGATATAAAATCAGTACCGTACTGACACCAGAAACACATGCATAGATATAAAATGACTAATGTACTGACACCAGAAACACATGCATAGATATAAAATCAGTACCGTACTGACACCAGAAACACACGCATAGATATAAAAAATCAGTACCGTACTGACACCAGAAACACATGCATAGATATAAAATCAGTACCGTACTGACACCAGAAACACACGCATAGATATAAAATCAGTACCGTACTGACACCAGGAACACATGCATAGATATAAAATCATGGCAGGCCGTTTGTAAACGTCCAGCATAGATATAAAATCAGTCTAGCATGCATGTGTACCCTGTCTGGTAGATGTGCCTGCTCCTACAGGCTCCCCTAGGGTTGCCACCTTTTCCTCCAAAAAATACCGTCCATCACTGAATTTATCTTTCCTGTTCCTCATGCACAGGAGGGGCGCTCTCGATCGGCGCCGCTGAGCGCTGAGCAATTGCGTTCTGAAATAGTTTAGGTGGGCTCAGGTGGGTGAGGATAGTTTAGGTGGGCTCAGATAGTTTAGGTGGGCACAGGTGGTTGGGATAGTTTAGGTGGGCACAGGCTGGGGAGAGAGTAAAAATTTAGAGCAATACATGATACTGCAGTCAGTGACAGGGAGCCGAGCGCAGCTTACCTACTCCAAGCTGTACGGCCCCTGCGTCCACGCTGTCACTGCCGTTGATGTCGCCGCGCCGCCCCCGATGTTTACACGCCGGCGGGGGGGGGCGGTGAAGCGTGCATAGTGTCCTCGCCCATCGTCCGCGCCCCCGATGTTTACACGCTGGCGGTAGAGGGGGGGGGGGTGAAGCGTGCATGTCCCCGCTCACCGGCTGTGAGCAGCGGCAGTGACAGGTGCCGGGCACGCGCAAGCATGACATAAACAAGCCGCGTCCGGCACCTGTCACTTTCGCTGCTCTGCATAGCTTGTCAGCTCTGCAGAGGCAGTCGGTGAGCGGGGACAAGAAGAAAAAGGTGGCGGAACGCAGTACCGCCGCGTTCCGGCAGAAAGAAAGCCCTGTCATTAACTAAATATGTACATGATCGGAGACCCCACCCTTTTGTTTAGCAGCGGGGATGCAGAAATGTGAATTGGCACGAGACTAGCACTGAGTTCAGACATTCGTTTTATTTTTTTTATTTTTATCGCAGGTTGTCATTCATCAGGATTGCCATGGATCTGTATTGCTGGACAATGTGTCTAATAGGTCATTTTGTTTATTTATTTTTTTACTAAAGGGCTTGTCAAAACTGTATGTGTTTTACCTGTTGTCATCGGGCCTGGGTTGTGGTGAGGAGACCCTTGTCCTCATGGGGACAATGTGCTTTGCCAGGGGGTCCCCCTGTGTTGAGGGTATGAAAAGTATGTTACCCGGTTTGCTTCAGGAGGAGGGAGCACACGTTTCTCACCCCACCCATTTTTCAGGCTTGCCAGGCTGCATGCTGTCATAAACATCTGGTATGGACCAGGGGCGGACTGACCATTTGGAAACTCAGGCACTGCCCGAGGGGTGGGGTCAGTAGGGGGCCCCATGAGATGCCCCTGGTACCTTTTTTTCATAGGCTTTTTTGAGTTTGGGCAAGGACACAGGGGCCCCATGATCCCTATTGCCCGGGGGCCCCATGAGTTGTCAGTCCGCCCCTGGTATGGACTCCATGCTTTTCTTGTTTTTTAATGCGGTTCCCTCCGAAAGTCTATACCAGACTGCTCGGTTGCCAGCTCCGTAAAAACCAGAAGCCCCGAGCAGAAAGTGCTCACAATTAGCAATGGTAGTTATAGTAGTAGTTAGGTTCAGTTCCTGCTGCTGTTGGAGGTTCAGCTTGGTTGAAAACCCATTCATTTGGCTATGTGCATGGCCAGCTTTACTCTATGTTTCCACAAAGTATAGATGTCATGGCAGACTAAGAATTAAAGTCCTGCTCAAGTCTAGGTTCACACATAAGCATTTTCCACAGCATTTTTCAGTCCATTTAACATGATTTCCTATGGGACAGGTTCACATCTCCACGTTTTCATCCCGTGTGTTTTTTGGAAAGGGATAGGGAATCTTTTTAAATGCAAAACGATGCGTTTTTGGTTCTATTGACTTCAAATGAGACGCTGCAGAAAAGCATGTAATGCATTTTTGATGCGTCTTTGATGCATTTTGAGTTTTATTCTGCTCAGCAACAAGTTGAAAACAAAAAAAAATACAAAACGCATCCAAAACTCATCAAAAACACATGCAAAAACACAAAATCTACTGGAGAAACGGATCAAATGCAAACTGTATAGGTATGAACCTAGACTAAGTGCCGGTTCATATATATGCGGATTGGATGTGGTTTGAATCGTATCCAATCCACATGACATGTGAAATAACATTGCTTCCCTTGGTGCCTGGTCACATATGTCCGGTGCACTGGCACTGGATTCAGTGTGGATTGAAAAAGTGTCATGTCTGTTTTCTGAGCAGTGCGGTCTGGTTCAGGTGAGGATTACAGGCTATTGACTTCTATGGGAACCATTTCTAAACCGCATATGTGTGAACAGGATAAAATCCTGACCTGAACCTGATGTAAAATTGAACCAGAAATTAACTCTCCTGCGCTCTGAGACCAAGATAGGGGGTGGATGGATGGAAACAAAACTTGAAAAATTCAACCACCAATGCATTTGGGGTTGTGCAGTACTGAACCTGATGTAAACCTGACCCGAACCGCTGGTGATTACTTGCCGGCGCGTGGTTATTGCTGAGCATCTCCGACGGGGGGGGGGAGAACAAAACGGTTCTCTCCCCTGTCAGCCCCTATGCACAGCCATGCAAAGCAGTGTGCTTACAGTGAAACACAAACACAGCCACACAGTAAAACAGCACACAGTTAACCCTTTGATCTCCCCACATGTTAACCCCTTCCTGCCCAGTGCCATAATACAGTGTCTGTGCTTTTTATTAGCACTGATCATTGTATTGGTGCCACTGGGGGATGTCATTGACACCAAGTCAGTTCCCCCCAGTGACAGAATGCCCGGCGCAGTCCCACTATAATTTGCCGATCGCCGCTATTACTAGTAAAAATTTTAAAAAAATTAAAATCCTAGTATATATACCCGCCATTTATAAACGCTATAAATTATTATTATTCTACAGGATTTATATAGCGCCAACAGTTTACTCAGCGCTTTACAAAATAACGGGAGACAATACAGCAACAATACAGTTCAATACAAGAGGGTTAGGAAGGCCTGATCCTGGGAGCTTACAATCTAAGATGAAATTAACGTAAACCAATTACTTTACACGTATTGGATTTTTTTTTTTAGCAAAGACATGTAGCAGAATACATTTTGGCCCAAATTTATGATGAAATTTGATTTAAATTTTTTTTTTTTACTGGACATATATTTAAGTCAAAAATATTGTTTCTTTCTCAAAATTGGCGTTTTTTTTAAAAAAACGCACAGGCGATCAAATACCACCAAAAAAAAGCTCTATTCGTGGGGAAAAAAGGACATACATTTCAGTTGGGTGCAGCGTTGCATGACTGCGCAATTGTCAGTTAAAGTAACGCAGCGTCATAACGCAAAAAATGGCCTGGTCAGGAAGGGGAGTAAATCCTCAGGAGGGCAAGTGGTTAAATGTATAGTATATACTCTGTAGCATGTTGGTAAACAATCAGCATGTACATCATAATACTTTATCTGAAATGGAAGTGCTTTACGTTCCAGAGTCATTCTTGTGCTCCTCACTTTGCATTAAGCCAGTGTTATATATTATTTCCATGAAATGTCCATGTGCATTAGTAGGAACAATGAATCTCTATTTAATCAGCTATTTCCACTGAAAACAGCCCAGCTAAGATGACTTCATTACCGCCCCATTCAAGCTTCACATAAATAGTCTGTTTATCTTCTCTTTGTTGACCTCGAGACTTATTAAGGATAATCAGTGAAGGGAAATGAGAGAAAGTGGTTTGTATTTGTAAACAAAATGCCAGGCTGAGTCATTGTATATGTGGGATTGTGAGTTGTAACGGGAGTATTCCATCTCTGATGTGAACCAGATGTTGGTGATGCAGAGCGCTGAAACAATATAGAAATGGTCCCTGACCGGTGAGCAAGGTATCAGCAGCAGAAGATCCACTCTTTTGGAACCTTTTATTTAAAACGTAACCTCTTGCCCTCCAGAAGATTTACCCCCCTTCCTGACCAGTCCATTTTTTTGCAATACGGCGCTGTGTTACTTTAACTCAGTATTTCCCAACCTTTTTTCAGCCAAGGCACCCTTTAAAAATTATGGGTAGTCCCGAACCCCATAGAGAATCTATGGGGCATTGCCAAGAGAAAGATGAGAGACATGAGACTGAACAATGCAGAAGAGCTGAAGGCCGCTAGTGAAGCATCCTAGTCTTCCATAACACCTCAGCAGTGCCACAGGCTGATAGCTTCCATGCCACGCCACATTGAGGCAGTAATTGATGCAAAAGGGCCCAAACCAAGTACTGAGTACATATGCATGCTTATACTTTTCAGAGGTCCGATATTGTTCTATGTACAATCCTTGTTTTATTGATTGCATACAATATTCAAATTTTCTGAGTTTGTGGATTTGGGGTTTTCACGAGCTGTAAACCATAATCATCACAATTATGACAAATCACGGCTTGAACTATCTTGCTTTGCATGTAATGAGTCTATCTCATATATTAGTTTCACCTTTTAAGTTGCATTACTGAAATAAATGAACTTTTGCACGATATTCAAATTTTTTGAGTTTCACCTGTATACGTGATTTTGCGCATCCCTGCTGCCCTGTAGCAGTACTTCAGCTATAGGGTGGTCAGGAAGTGGTTAAAGTGTAAGTTTACCTTGCCAGAGAAAAATAAAAGGATCAACACTGTACATCCTCCTCCCCCTTCCCCTGTTCCTGCTGTACTTACTTCCATGGGTGACGAGCTGTGCATGCAGCAGGTGCAGCAGTCCAGAGATAGAAGTTCCCACTCTTCTCCCTCTTCTGTATGTAGCGCTTCGAGAATGGATCAGAGCTAGACCTTGTGCTGGCGCTGACCAATCAAAAGTACTTGGATCCATTCCAGAAACACTGCACAGAAAAGAGGGAGAGGGACCGCTGCACTGGCTGTGTTGGTACTGACAGCTCATCATCCATGGAGGTAAGTACAACACATCCCCAAACACAAATTCCCTCTGTAAGCCCAAATTTTCCATCTCAAAAAATGCAAAAATTCTCCCATACTAATAGGAGTTGATTTACTAAAGGAAAACAGATTGTGCACTTTGCAAAGTGCAGTTGCACTCAGCAAGAGCAGTTGCTCCAGCTTAGTGAATGATGTAAAGATTTACTTTGCAAATACAAGGAAGGAAAATAGAAAAAACATAATCTTCGCTTGCACATGATGGGATGATGGAAGTCAGCAAATCATCTGTTCATTTACTACGCTCTGGAGCAACTGCTCTTGCAGAGTGCAACTGCACTTTGCAAAGTGCACAGTTTATCTACCATTAGTAAATCAACCCCTACAACTCCACCCCCCCCGTTAAAATCCCCCCTCCAAACATAACTTTTGTCCCCATTTCAAGCACAAATCCTCTCTACCCCACAAATTCATCCCCCCAACAGATTCCCCCTACCAGAAGAAATACTCCCCCCCCAGAAAATCCTTCCTCCCAGCAAAAATTATCTTCTTTCCACAAATCCCCACTCCCAGCTCAAATTCTTTTCAAATACACAAAATCCCTCCTCCCAACACAGATCTTCTCCCCCCAGGAATTCTGGAGGATGTTCTTTACCCAGGCTCCCCCCTTGTCTTGTGACATGCCATAACCAAGGAGGAGCCTAGAAGCCAGTGCGGAATGAAAAAGAGTCATGTACGATTTCTAATCAGTGCGGTCTGGTTCAGGTGCAGATTACAGGCTATTGACTTCTATGGGAACCGTTTCTAAACGGCATATGTGTGAACAGGATAAAATCCTGACCTGATCCTGTCCTGAACCTGATGTAAACCTGACTTGAACCTGTGAACAGCTACTGTATCAATTAACTGTGAAACCTGAGCTTCAATCCGCACTGCACATGTGTGCATTAGCTCTGAAACACACTAACACTGAATTTAAAAAAAGTAGTTTTTTTTAAATCCTACATAAAATTCACTGTCCCTGACTTATGACACCAACCTTTGACCCTGACCTTTACCTCTGACCATGACTTTTGACAGTAACCCTAACCTAGATCAACCATAATCTAACTAGTAAAAAAAAAAAAAAACATTTATAAACACTTATTTGTTTACACTTTTTCTCCACTAGCAAGGAGAAAAAGATACAATGTATTATACAGGATATAGAAGTGGTCTCCAATGTGGCCCTTTGCTAGCTTTTATCCGGCCCTTGGTGCACTATTGCTCCCACTGATTTGAGCCACTATTCCTAACACTGGCACCAATGATGGGGCACTATTCCTAACACTGATACCAATGATGGGGCACTATTCCTAACACTGACACCAATGATGGGGCACTATTCTTAACACTGACACCAATGACGGGGCACTATTCTTAACACTGACACCAATGACGGGGCACTATTCCGCACACTGGCACCAATGATGGGGCACTATTCCTAACACTG